GTCTTCTCTCACTACTCTAAAGGGCCCCTTTGGCAGTAGGAAACACATAGACTATTATGGAGATTTATTTTGGAATTTAGATTCACTGTTATCAATTGTGCTTAGCCATACATGTTCATATCCTTGAAGATGTATCATGGAAGTGTTGCAGCCTAGAAGATATAAATTTAACAAGTTAAAAGTACATGAATCAAAAATTAAAAAGCAATAACATTCCGAGTAGAGGTTCTAATAGTGGCACAAATAAAGTTACAGAGGGAAGGTGGTTCTTACAATAAAAGGCCTATAGACTAGTACTTTGTCTATTATAGTGTAGAGGTTAGGAACCACAAGATGTAGAGGCTCAGCTATGCCATTTATGGTTCTTAAGTCCTTGTTTTTTTACATTCTTTGCTTTTCTATTTGTGCCGTCTCTGTCTCTTCTTTTAGATTGAGAGCTGTTTGAGGGTAGAACATGGTGTCTTGAACTACTTTGCATTCCAGGCTTCTAGTTTGCTGTTTTGACGGAGTTACTTGCCAGTTGCCTCTTTTTTTGTAGTTTTATGTATGAAAGTACTTGGTAGTTTATATTTTGCTCTCATGAGCACATTACTTGTCTACCAGTTTGCGGTACTGGGGTGACTTGCAGATTGCTGTGATGTTGGAAGCTATGCCACCAGTATTTTATACCCGGAGGGTTGCCCATGGTGGACAGATTTCAGAGGAGCTTCCAGATTAAGAAAGACAAAGAAGCAGGATTGGCCCTCCTCTTCTGAAATAACATACTTTCAAAAACGCTATGAATAATAAAGGAACATTGTTAGATCATAGCACTGTCACAGTACTGGAAGTAGAGCCCCCAGATTGGAAAACACTAAAAAATGAGGAATAACAGCTGCAAGTATTCATTAATAATTGGAATATGGAATGTATGAAGTATGAATGTAGAAAAATTGGAAGTTGTCAAAAATGAAATGGTTAGACATCCTAGGCATTAGTTAACAGAGATGGACTAGTATTGGCCACTTTGAATTGAGCAATCATACGATCTGTTATGCTGAGAATGACAAACTAAGGTAGAATGGTGTTGCATTCATAAAAAAAAGAGACCATTTCAGGGTCTATTGTGTAGTACCATGTTGTGAGTGATATATGATACTCTATCTATACTCATACGAAGAAGACAATACAATTCAAATGATGCATCGACAACTAAAGCCAAGGATGTGGAAATTGATGATTTCTACCAACTTTTGCAGTCTCAAATTGATCAGTCATGCAGTCTGTATTCATTAATAATAGCTGGTGGCAGGAATGCATTAATTCAGAAAAAGAAGGTGGACTGGTAGTCTGAAATTATGGACTAAGTGCCAGAAGTGAGACTGCAGAGAAAATGATTGAATTATGTACAATGATTTATTCATTGCAAAAACCTTTTTTTAAAAAAACATAAATGGCACATATACACATGTACCTCACCTACAGAGGAATCATAGTGACTCTCTCTGAGGGAAGAATAGATGGAGAAGCTAAATGTTAGTAGTCAAAAGTATGTCAGGTGCTAACTGAAACAGAGCATCATTTACTCATGTGCAAGTTCAAACTGAACCTGAATAAAATGAAGTCCGTAAGAATCAAAATACTACCTTGAATCTATCCCACCTGGATTTTAAAAAACCATGGTAAGAATAGATTTGAAGAATTGAACACTGATGATCAAAGACCAGATGAACTGTTGGATAACATCAAGGATATCATACGTAAAGAAAGCAAAAAGTTATTACAAAGATAGAGGCGAAAGAAAGACCAAAATGGATGTCAGAAGAGATTCTGAAACTTGAACCGGAATGAAAAGAAACTAAAACAAGGAAAGCATGCTGAAGTAAGAGAACTGAACAGAAGATTTCAAAGGACAGTTCAAGAAAGAGAGGAAGACCCTCAATGAGATGGATTGAGACTGTGACAATGGGCTCAAGTATATCACAGATGGAAGAGGATAAAGCATAGTGCAGATCCATATTCATAGGGTTGCTGTTAGTTGTAGAGGAATCAGTGGCATCTCCAGCAACAACAGTACATGGATTCAATATTCAAAAAAATGTTGAGTTAAATATCTAAAATCTAACTTGAGCTTACAAATACATATGGACTTACCCTGCCAAAAATTATTAGCATGTTGGTTTTTCATTACCTGGTACGTCCTAGATGCCGTTCAGTCACCTGATGCACAGAGACCTCAGTACAACAGACTGAAACCTTGGCCTCCGTTGCACCATCCTTATAATCTCTTCTGTGTTTAGGCTCCTTATTGCAATCACTGTGTCTCCATCTCATTGAGGTTCTTTCTCTCCTTTCCTGACTCTGATTTTCCAACCATGATGTCCTTATTCCCCCAAGGACTGGCCCTCCTTTATGTTGTTGTTGTTGTTGTGTGCCATCGAGTTGCCCACAACTCATAGCGACCCTATGCACCATAGCTCTGAACCCTGCCCTATCCTGAGCCAGTCTCACTGCGACACACATACCCCATTACCCCAGTTACTATGTCAATCCGTCTCATCCAGGGTCTTCCTCCCCTGTTCTTTCTCTTCACCTTTCCAAGCATGATGCCCTTCTCCAAGAACTGGTCCCTCCTGGCAACATGCCTGAAGTACATGAGACAGAGCTTCAAAATCCTTGCCTCCAACAAGTAGTTTGATTTCACCCTCTTCAGGACAGACCTGTTTGTTTTCTTGGCAGTCCATGGTATATCCAATACTTTTCTCCAGCACCACAATTCAAAGGCATCAATTCTTCTGTCATCCTTAGTCAAGTGTCTAGCTCTCAGATGGTATGATGAAGTTTCTCAGTCTTTACCTTTAAGGAACACTGTGGCTACTATATTCCGTGACATATTCAGTATTCTTTACCAAAACCACAATTCTGAGGCATTGATGATTAGTCTGTCTTCCTTATTCATTGCCCTCCTTTCACACGCATATGAAGCAATTGGAAATGCTATTACTTGAGTCAGGCACACCTTAGTTTTAAACTGACATCCTTGTTCTTAAGCACTTGCCCAGTGAAGTACATTTGAATTCTTAACTGCTCCTTCCAAGGGTATTGATTATGAGTCCAAGTAAAAGAAATAATTAACAATTTCAGTCCTTTCTCCATTTATAATATTGCCTTTTATCGAAAGGTGAGGATTTTTATTTTCTCTTATATTCAGGTTTAATCTTTATTGGAGGCTATAGTCTCTGACCTTCTTCAAGAAGTCCTCCAGGTCCTCCTCACTTTCAGCAAGCAAGAATGTGTCATCTGTATAGCATGGACAGTTGATGAGTTTTCCTCCGGTTCTGATACTACAGTTCTTCATGGTTATTTTTCTCAAGCATATAGATTGAATAGATGTGGTGGTGAAAGGATGCAAAGCTAATGTTTATCTTCCTTGATTTTTTTTTTTACTTGAGTCACCTCATTAACATTATGGGGAAGGTACTGTATGTAAAACAATTTTAAAGATGAGCACAGGGAAAGACGTGCAGGAAGATCCTCAGTGTAGAATGAACAGTCAGTGTGTTTATTATCATTATCATCGATAATTTCCTGTGATTAAAGATCCGTTCATGCAGATGGTTAGTGAAACACTAAGCAAAATAATTGTTGATTTTTGTAGCCCAGCCAGACAGTATTCATTTGTCAGTTTCTGCTTTAACCAAACCTTACTTCTTATTATCTTTCCTCTTTTTACAAACTGGAATCTGGGCTGGACTAGTAGCACATCACACAGGTAGATGAGAGCACACACAAGATGGATAATAAACCAGTAGTGTGTGTTGTTTGGTGTTTGATAAGGGAAGAGCAGGCCCATTGGGATAAGCCTGCAGTTCCCTTTATAGGCTCTGATGACAAATAGGAGCCAGAAGAAACAGTCAATCTGTGTATAAATCTATGGTCCTTAGAAATCTAATTTCCTTTAAGTGATCTGTCAGAAATGTCTTCCGGAATTTGTTGTTGTTGTTATGTGCCGTCGAAAACACAATATTCTGTAGTAATATTCTTCTAAGTTAGCATTGGTTCCTTGTGCTGATGGAGTAGCTGTGGGCTTTGCAGGTTGTGGGCTCCCTTCAGGTGAGGATAAATCTCCCTCTTTTAACTTTCTCTTGTAGAGCACTGAACAATTCAGATGCTAATTTTTTTGGAAATAGTGATTATGGAATAGATGTGACTGTGACAAATGAGCAGATGGCCATTCTTGACCTGGCTGGATGCTGGTGTCTGTGATTCTGCCATTCAGCTGTATCACCAGATGATAAACGTGGTAGTTGGCATAGTAGGCAGAATTCTAATGGGTCTCAAGAGTTCTTGACCCTTTGTTGTACATAACCTGTATAATCTTGATTTTCCCTTGGTTTTAAGCCATGTAGTATCCTCTTATTTTGTTCAAACAATTGTTGCTTGGTCTGTGTACAATTGTTGTTGTTATTGTTGTGTACCGTCTGGTCGGAACCAACTCAGGTGACCCTCCAGGGAGTTTTCAGAGGCTGTAAATTGCCCAGGAGGAGATTGCCCATCCTTCTCCCACAGAGCAGCTGGTGGACTTCAACTGTGTTGCCTTTGGGATTGCAGCGCTGTTTCTTAACAGTAGGCCACATGTTCTGAAATTCTGGTTCTTCTCAATGTTATCTATCATTTATTATGATCCACACAATCGAAGGCCTTTACATAGTCAGCAAAACATGAGAAACCATGTTTTCTGATATTCGTTGTGTTTAGCGAAGAGCCACCTGACAGCAATGAAAACCTTTGTTCTCAGCCTTTTCTGAACCTGGCTTGAATTTCTGACATTCCCTGTCAGGATACTATTCCAGCTATTCTTCAATAATCCTCAGCAAGATTTTACCTGCATGTAACATTTATGAATTTGCTTTGTAAATTTCCACATCCTGTTAAATTACCTTTCTCTGAGATGGGCACAAATACAGAACTCTTCTAGTTAAAAGGCTAGGTCTTCCAAATTTCTTGGCATATACAATTTAGCAAAGCCATGCTTGCATTTGTTTGCTAAAACACCTCATTGGATATTCTGTAAATTCCTGGGCTTTATTTTTTGCTAATGCTTTTAGTGTATCTTGAACTACTTTTATTATGATAGGCCCTTGATTGTTCGCTACTTCTTGAAATGGTTCAATATTGACCAGTTCTTTTTGGTACAGTGACTCTGTGTGTTGCTTTCATCTTTTGATACTTCCTACATCATTCAGTATTTTGCCTGTAGTTCTAGAGTATTGCCACTCAAGACTTGATTTTTTTTTTTTAAAATTCAGTTCTTTCTAGAAAACCTGAGCCTTTTTCTAACTACCAAGTCCTTAAATATACTTTGCCTTGTCTTCTTGAGCTGTCCTTTGAAATTTTCTCTTCGGCTTTCTTATTTTGTCATTTCTGCCTTTTACTTTAGCTTCTATATATTGAAGAGCAAGTCTCAGAGTCTCTTCTCACGTCTGTCTTGGTTTTTTGTGCTTTCTTGTTGGATGATGTTCTTGATGTCTTCTTGCAACTCATCTGATCTTAGGTTGTTAGTGTTTGGTGTTTGAAATAGGTTTTATAATTCAAGCAGCATAAACTCAAGGTCATATTTTGGCTCTCATGGACTTTCATTTTCTTTAGCCAGCAATTGATAATCTGTTCCGCCTGTTGGCTCCTGGCCTTATTCTTGATGACATCGAACTTTTATGCCATCTCTTGCCACAGATGCCAGATTTATTCCTGTGTATTCTTTCTAGTGACGTTCTGTGTTTATTTTTAAAAAAATTATTTGTATTAAATAAATTGTTGATTGTACAAAATTTTCTCCAGCTCCACTTCTGCCACGAAGGTCACATTTTCCAACTACCTTCTTTCTAACTTCTCCTTTGTTTTCAACTTCGGCATTCCAGTCACCAATTTCTTGGTGCAATCTGATTACATTGTCAATCAATGTCAGACTTCAGAAGTAGGTAGAAGTCCTTAATTTCTTCATCTTTGGCTTAAGTCATTGGTGGTGTGTATTTGAATAATACCTGTATTAACAGGCGATTTTTGTATGTGCTTGGGTATTTCCCTGTTTCCATTGCAGCACTATTTCATGAGAGATAATGGGATGTTCTTTTTGATGAGGAATGCAGCACTTCAGTTTGTCATTGCCAGCACAGTTGATCGTATCAGCACCTGATTCACAGTGGCCAGTACCAGTTAGGGTGAGGTCAGAAGGGCCAGTAGCACCTGTTTCTCCTCTTTTTGAGTCTTGCCATGTTAGCAAATGAAGGTCCTTCATTAGGTGAAGGTGTGACTCCATCTACATTTAACATAGGCCGTGCTCTTGGAGGGAGCAGTTCCCTTGTTACATTTTGAGCCCCTTTAAATGTGAGAGCCTCACCTCCCACCTCTCTGTCAGTGAGCGTTCAGTGCTGCTTACAGGGGTTTTCAGAGCCCATTATGGTGGACTGATACAATGGTATTCTTTAAAAATGGAAACGGATGCAGTAATGCTAATTCACAAAAATTCTAATTAAAAACTGTACAGGATTTCAGAATGACTGACACTTCTGAAGCAGTTTCAAAATTTGAAGAGATGTTTGCCAGTAGATTCACAGAAGAGGACAAAGAATACCAGGAGTACCTGAAGCGACCTCCCGAGTCCCCACCAATTGTTGAGGAATGGAATAACAGAGCTGGTGGAAACCAAAGAAACAGAGGCAGCCGGTACGCATTACTGCAGAACAGTATACGTGAATGCAGGTTGTGTGAGGGAGGATGCCTTTAAACTGCCAGACTCCAAGGACAGGGACTAAGATTTCACCCAGTGGGTCAGGAAGGTCAGGTGGAATAGTCTGCCTGGAGTTGCAGTTACCCCTCTCGGCTGGTTCCCATCTACCAGAGGCTGAGCAGGAGAAAGACGGGCAGTCTCCTGTGCGATTTACAGCCTCCAGACACCCATTGGAGAGTCAGCCATGAGTTGGTTCTTAAGTCGACAGCAGTGAATTGAGCGAGAGTACCTCCTTACAGTTCCTGCTCAGCATTGACTTGCATATTCTGTCAGCACCATTTGTTTTGCTGGCAGTTTAATTGTGCATGCATGTGATGTGTTTCAGTGATTTGTTTTTTAATGGTCTGTGGACTAAGGAATATTTTTTTCCCAATAAAGAATTTAAAAGTTCATTTTCTACAGAGTTGTATTGAACTCCCATTTTTTAAAAAACACCCTCATTGCCATCAGATCTGAGCAGACGTGAGTCCGTCGATCCTCCTGTCGGTTTTCAGAGGCTGTAAATCTCACGAGAGGAGACTGCCCATCTTTCTCTCGTGGAGCAGCCGGTGGATTCAAACTGCTTGCCTTTGAGTTGACAGCACAGCTCCTTACGCACTAAGCTACCACAGCACACCATAAAGAGGGTATTATTTTGGTCTATCTTAATATAAAAAGTTTTACAAAGTGGAAGTTCTATTTTTTCGTTGTAATCAAAGGAGGAAGCTGATGGTGTAGTCTGTTGGAAGTTGTGCTGCTAATCTAAAGGCAGCTGGTTCGAATCCACTAGCAGCAACTCAGGAGAAAGAGAAACAGTCTTCTCCCATGCACAGTGTTCAGCCTCTGAAAACCTCCTGATCGGCAGCTGCGAGTCAGCTCCAGTTGATGGCAGTGAGTGCTGAGTAAATGAATAAATCACCACATTGCATTTATAAAATGTAATAGCTTTCTCTTTGATTTGAAACTTTGAGTTTGCTGTTGTAGCCTGCCTATTTCTTAGCAAAGTGTATCTGGTATAATTATAGAAGAATGATTTAAATCTTTGTAAAAATTTGAGTAATTCATACTTAACATTCTTAAGAGGGGAAAAAAACCTGGTTTTCACTGTTTGCTAAGCACTAGATAGAACAATCACATGTACCAGGACAGGTTTACCATGTGTTTCTTAAAAGGGAAGTTAAAAACTGTTTTGTTTTTGTTTTGTTGTTACAGGTTGCAAGATAATAGACATTTTAGAGGTGGGGACAACAGCCGAGGGTGGCCAAGTGACAATCGGTCCAATCAGTGGCATGGACGATCCTGGGGTAACAATTACCAGCAACACAGACAGGAGCCTTATTACCCCCAACAGTATGGACACCATGGTTACAACCAGCGGCCTCCATATGGTTACTACTGAGAAAAGTGTCGGCAGCTTTTAGTGAAACCGTAATTTTCTTTGTTAGCATGATAAAAGTTTGTGTACGGCCCTCTGTTTGGTGATAATTTGGCATCTGTTTTGTCGAAGAATAGATTGGTGGGTTTTGGTTTGGTTTTTTTTTACAGTGTGAGGCTTTTCTCCCTCCCCGGGCAGATTTGATTAAATGTGTGATGGAAGCATAGCTAGGAATAAATTTATCATTGCTGTCAAGTTGGAACTGACTTGGAGCTGCCTTTGGGTTTCCAAATCTGTAAATCATGTGGGAGGAGATTGCCTGTCTTTGTCCCTTGGAGCTCCTGGTGGATTAAAAAAAAAATCCAGAGAGGTGCAAGCCTGTGCTTCAGCAGTGTGGCTCCCTGCAGACTGCCACCAGCACTGCCGTGACTGGCAGTGATGACTTAAATCTCTCGCCTTTTGTTTACCAGCCCCAGATGTAGCCACTCCACCATTGCAGCTCCTTAACATAATTTTCGCCAGCCTTCGAGTTAGAACCCACGCACAGCTGACCCTCCACTGCATTCCCAGGTTATAAACTGCACGAGAGGAGACTGCCTCTCTCCATGGAGCCACTGGTGGATTTGAACCACCAGAGAGGTGTGGGTTTTGGGCAAATCCCTATGGACTACTTCACCAGAGTGTCCTCAAAATTCATCTGTTTAGTAGATGTTTACGTTTGTAATGTTAAGATGTTCCTTTTGAAATTATATATATACATATGTTGTTGATGGCCTTTGAGTCTAGCATGACTCATAGC